TTCCACTCCTCATCAGTGACCCTGGACACTACAACGAATGAAACAACAGACCAAACCAAGCCTTTATCACTACTATAAATTATAAATGTTTTATTGATGTTGCTTAATACAGATCTGATCTTTATGCACAAAGTTAGCGTTTAGTTGATTCCTTTTATTGTGAAGATGGTTTAATATGTTACTCAACTTTTGCAAATGATAATTATATCCAAATATAGAGGATTTTATACTGTATCATTTGTTGAATGACTGACTCTGTTATTGCTCAGTATAATCATTGAATATTCTACAGATGACCACGAGACACTTTGGTAATCATTGGATATTCCTCTAATGAGTCTACAGATGACCACAAGATACTTTGGTAATTAATGGATATTCCTCTAATGAGTCTACAGATGACCACAAGACACTTTGGTAATTATTGGATATTCTACTAATGAGTCTACAGATGACCAGTACCGCGAATGTCTGCCACAAGACACTTTGGTAACACTTGTACGTCCTAGAAACAAGATACAGTTGTTGTGGAAGCTAGGCTCGTTCTTAGATCTCATGCTATTCAATGAATGAGTCACAAAGCCTTGTTTCCTGTATGTGGAGCCAATATCAAGATCAGGAGAAAACATGTTTGAGTCACAGCGATTCGGAAATATCGCCATATTCAAATTAAGTCACGTCTGTAACTTGCCGCAAACAGTACCTCATTAAAAAATGACCTTAGAAATGATACAGGGGGTTAAAGTTTCTAAACAGGCAATTTGCAGACGGCTTCGTGAGACTGGTACGAGGTCCTGAAGAGATACATCGAGGAACGTGTGCAGTGTGCTCTGGATCACATAATGTTGAACATCAACAATGGTCCTTTTCACTGAAGAATCTGACAGATTCTGTCATAGGTACAGTATCTCATCTCTGTTGACACTGTCCACCTTATAGATTGGTCACAATATATCATAACCCGAACTCTATTGGACTTGCTACAGAAGGCGATGACAGCCCAACCAGTGCCAAAGCCTGGCCAAACTCCATCTTTGTTGTTGACACTGTCCATCTTATAGATTGGCCACAATATCTCATAACACGAACTCTATTGGACTTGCTACAGAAGGCGATGACAGCCCAACCGGTGCTGTCCAGTTCTGTGCTAAAGCTCCAGAACGCTCTTATCCAAGAATGGACCCAGAGGGCGATAACAACCCATCCAGTACTGTACTGGAGCTTCAGAACGCCCTTATACAAACATTTTTGTGGTTTGATTTGTTTTGAATTCTGTCCTTAGTTTAACAGTAATAAACAAGAGGGAAAGCAGCTAGTCAACAACACCCAACGCCAACTCTTGTACCAATGAATAGTGGTATTGGCCGCCAGCTTATATCGCCCCACGGCTGAAAGGGCGAGCATGTTCGGTGACGGGGATTTGAACCCTCGACCCGCAGATTGCGATTATGAGCGTCCTAACCACCAGGGCCTCCAGAAATGGAACCAGTGTTTGCCACTTTATTAATGAAATATACAGACATTGTCAAAGTGTTATTTAACAGTTTCAAGGGTTCTTAAACACTTTATTTACATCTCCATCAGTACAAAGGGCCTATAGATTGGATACAGTGTAGGTGACCCATTGCGATTTTACTCTGCCTCTCCGATTTTCTGATACTTTTTACTTTTCTTTCTCAGTTGCGAATGAACTAATTCTTAAATACAATTGTTATGGTGTGAGCGTCTTTTACAAGCAGACGATTGTTTGTTTTGAATTTCG